TGTCCAAAAGTTGGAAATGACCCAGAAATGGACCCTTTAAATATTGCCTAACGTGCCCTTTTTTAAAGTTTTCTCCAGTGAATATTCTGAAAACAGATCAAACAACCAGGTTTCTGTTTAGTGAAACTATGACTTTGGCTTCAGATTGTGACACTTGGACTGGGTGTAAAGTTTATTTCAGAATCAGAATCCTTTATTGATCCCTAGGGGAAATTACTTTGGTTACAGTGCTTCAGTATAAACAATAACATAGACAGACAATACACTAAGTAAGAAATAGACACAATATATACAATATATACATGACTTATATACATATAGGTCACTTATTGATAAATAGCTGAACAAGAAGAAGAGCGTGTAGCTATTTGCAGTACAGTGTGTTAAGTGGATGAGTTGCACTTCTTCCAAATCAGACGTTTTTGATTTGACTGTTTGTTTGTTTTTAATGTAATTACACATACATGTATAACTGGGGGCCAGACCTGATTGGTCTTTAAAAGTGTGTAAACTGCAGTGAGATCATTAAAAGCTGATGTTGTGATGCCAGCTTTACTGTAAACGAGTGAAAAAGTATAGAAAGCTAAAATAGTTTCCAGATCTAGACGAGCTGTTTGAATCCTAAAAACAAAAAATGCCACTGCTGTGACAGAAACTGTTGCATTAAATGTGGCATCCCTCAAGGATCGATTTTAGATCCTCTTCTATTGTCGTCTTTGCATTTCAGAAGCACGATATTTACATTTAGTATCATCTACCTGCTTCACCTCACAGCGACTGATGGCAAAAAAACTTTTCTCAACTAAAAATTGAGCAAAACTGAAGTTATTTTATTTCCATTATTTGACTTAATTTCCAGATCCTACGTATTTATATTTTTGGCTTAATCAATTTTTTAAAGTCTTATTTTATTTAATGATCATATTTTAAGAATTATTTAGATTTTTTTTTTTTTTTTTGCTTTGTGCTGATTTTTATCATATCTGTGTGTTTTATTTTGAAGACCTCCCGGTATTTTAAACTGACTTCACTTCACTTCACTTTTAAAATGCATTCTTTCTTATGCCAGGATAATTGTGATTTTTATAAAATTTCATATAGAATAATAATAATAATAATTTAACTAGAAATAATATCCCCCATTGAACATTTTTAGAATATACTTGTTTTTACACTTAAAGAAAGGGAAACATTAGCGAGGGGTTTTTATTAATGCAGTTGTTTTACTACACCTGCCTCAGCTTGATCAAATAGTTTTTCTTGGTCATGACTTTCTTACTAATAGATTTTAAATCTCAAATGTCCTTTTTCTTCTT